TCTTGCCCGTGTTGAGATTGCGCTGGAACCCCCATTCCCTATACTACTCTCCTATTCTCTGAATTAATTGCTTAAGATTTTACCTTCACTCAGAAGCATAACTGCGAGTTCTATCGTATGATAACTTGAATGATCATCTTGACACTTTTTTTAGGAATAGAATACACCGTTGTATGTAAAAAATCAATAATTCTTGATAAAAATTATTTTTGACCTTTTGATCGATGATTCAGCAAGTAATAAATAGTTTATCGGCTGACCAAATAAGCCGAACCAGTCCAACGCGTTTTCAAATTATTTCCGCTTTCGTTTTCAGTCCAGTTTTCACTGGGTCGACGATTGCAATGACTTAATTTACAGTTTCTCTGAAGAGCAGATCTTCTGACAATGTCCAGGATAAATAGAAGTATATAATCGAAGAAAACAACAGAATAAACATGGAATAAAGAAATGACTTGTAGGGGTAAGGTGAATGTAATATGATTGTCTTTGCTTTTCAATTAACAACAAGTAAGTGAGCTCAAGGACGGCTTTCCATTAAGTTGAACCGATCGCTCCGAGCGGTCAGTTCTTAAATGATAAAAGTCAGTTCTTAGAAGTGAACCAACGCGGCCCGAAATAGTTCTAAAAATTGACGCGTACGATTTAAAAAGTGAGCGCCCTTCAGAATGCATTCTCAGCCAGCTATTACGACTCACTTGCAGCACATCTCGTGATGGTACTTAATGGTACTTACTATCTATTTGTTGATATTTGACTTTCATATTTTACAAAAGTGAATATAACTAGCTGTTGCATAATGCATATGAAATGCTGCGAGTATGTATGAGATAATATCAAAAGATGTTTTTGGTATATAATATCAGTTTCCTCTGATCTTTTTCTTTTGTGACATTGATTGTCTTTCTCTATTTAATTCAAGTCGAAGGAGAGCATAAATATTCCTATAATTTTGAGATAACAGCAGCAGTACAGCCATACCATTACAATTACGCGCATGAAAATCAAACACAAAAATACAATCTGTGGTCTTTAATAAAGCCATGTTGTAGCTTTCTAATATTATAAATGCAAATTATTGTTACTAAAAGCGTTCATCAAAGATGAACGTTAATTAAGTGAAGTATGGAGCCTCCTTTTCAGACTTGTCAGGTTCGTCCTTGGTAAAATTGGTCGCATTTTATCAACCACAATGGGTTGTCATTTGTTTTGATTTGTGCCTTACTGGGCTCTACCATTTGTCACCATAATAGGAGATTGTTTAGTTTTTGCCTCTGGGCAATCGGTGTGATATAGTACGTGCGTCACAGGGCCGTAGCCACCGGTACGGTTGGTCCGGTTTCAACCGA